ACTGTTTCATAAACTAAACACTGACTATTTGTTAAACGAAACACTAGTATTATCACTGTTTCGTAAACTAAACACTGACTATTTATCAAACAAACACTAGTACTATCACTGTTTCATAAACTAAATAGAACACTAGTACTATCACTGTTTCATAAACTAAACACTGACTATTTATCAAACAAACACTAGTATTATCACTGTTTCGTAAATTAAACACTGACTATTTCTTAAACGGAACACTAGTACTATCACTGTTTAGTAAACTAAACACTGACTATTTATCAAACGAACACTAGTACTATCACTGTTTCGTAAACAAAATCGAACACTAGTACTATCACGGTTTCGTAAACTAAACACTGATTATTTCTTAAACGGATCACTAGTACTATCACTGTTTCGTAAACTAAACACTGACTATTTCTTAAACGGAACACTACTATCACTGTTTCGTAAACTAAACACTGACTATTTCTTAAACGGAACACTAGTACTATAACTGTTTCGTAAACTAAACACTGACTATTTCTTAAACGGAACACTAGTACTATCGCTGTTATGTAAACTAAACACTGATTATTTATCAAACGAACACTAGTACTATCACTGTTTCGTAAACTAAACACTGACTATTTCTTAAACGGAACACTAGTACTATCACTGTTTGGTAAACTAAACACTGACTATTTATCAAACGAACACTAGTACTATCACTGTTTCGTAAACAAAATCTAACACTAGTACTATCACTGTTTCGTAAACAAAACACTGACTATTTCTTAAACGGAACACTAGTACTATCACTGTTTCGTAAACTAAACACTAATTATTTCTTAAACGAAACACTAGTACTATCACTGTTACGTAAACTAAACACTGACTATTTATCAAACGAACACTAGTACTATCACTATTTCGTAAATTAAACACTGACTATTTCTTAAACGAAACACTAGTACTATCACTGTTTAATAAACTAAACACTGACTATTTATCAAAGAACACTAGTACTATCACTATTTCGTAAACAAAATCGAGCACTAGTACTATCACTGTTATGTAAACTAAACACTGACTATTTCTTAAACGGAACACTAGTACTATCACTATTTCATAAACTAAACACTGACTATTTATCAAACGAACACTAGAACTATCACTGTTTCATAAACTAAACACTAACTATTTATCAAACGAACACGAGTGCTATCACTGTTTCGTAAATTAAACACTGACTATTTATCAAACGAACACTAATACTATCACTGTTTCGTAAACAAAATCGAACACTAGTACTGTCACTATTTCGTAAACTAAACACTAACTATTTCTTAAACGGATCACTAGTACCATCACTGTTTCGTAAACTAAACACTGACTATTTATCAAACGAACACTAGTACTATCACTGTTTCGTAAACTAAACACTGACTATTTCTTAAACGGAACACTAGTACTATCACTGTTTCGTAAATTAAACACTGACTATTTCTTAAACGAAACATTAGTACTATCACTGTTTAGTAAACTAAACACTGACTATTTATTAAACGAACACTAGTACTATCATTGTTTCGTAAACAAAATCGAACACTAGTACTATCACTGTTTCGTAAACTAAACACTGACTATTTCTTAAACGGAACATTAGTACTATCACTGTTTCGTAAACTTATCATTGTTTCGTAAACTAAACACTGACTATTTCTTAAACAAAACACTAGTACTATCACTGTTTCATAAACTAAACACTGATTATTTATCAAACGAATACTAGTACTATCACTATTTCGTAAACTAAACGGAACACTAGTATTATCACTGTTTCATAAACTAAACACTGACTATTTATCAAACGAACACTAGTATTATCATTGTTTCGTAAATTAAACACTGACTATTTGTTAAACGGAACACTAGTACTATCACTGTTTAGTAAACTAAACACTGACTATTTATCAAACTGACACAGGTACTACACAATTTATTAAACTGACTGACTATTTTTGAACAGAACCAAAATAACCCATCCTAATAAGTAACAATGAGCGCACTTACGACAGTGACTTTAATTATTAGACTATTAGTCAATTAGGCAACCAGAAATTGGATTACCAAATTAGCTAATCCTAACCCACCACCCTCATGACAAGTCATCTTAGTTATGTGTGCTATGCTGATGCTATATATATAAAAATCAAACAAGTAACAAGCACGTTCAAGGAAACTTGGATAAATGGCTCACAAGTACTATAACAATGCACTAGTGCTACTAGTGTTTGTCAGCGTTGTGGCGCAGGAAGAAACGTTAATGGTGGGTGTTGCTCAACGAGATCTTTTATTATGGTCTCGTTTCTTTGAAAGTTTGCTTTATATATATATAACAACATCCAAACCAGGCTTTTCATAGTACAACATCCAACCCAGGCTTTTCATGTGGATTTTCTTCCTTGGAACAAGCTGCTTCTTCTCAGCCCTCATCGATGCATTCTGAATGGAATTAAGACAAGCCATTTTTCATCTTCTTCGTCACACCATCAACCAGCTTATTGCCAGATGATGCGGCCTCCTCCCTTCCCCTTTTTCGTTCCATATACACATACTTTTCAAAGTTGCTAGAGGCTTGGCTATATCCAAAACGAAATGCAGCTTTTTTCTCACACAAACTTTTATAAGAGATTAGCACGGTGAAACGCAAATCACCGTTGTATCTAAAAATCAAGAAGTCTCAGCATTCTACGTAATGGTCTATCACAAATGTCGGCCACCCATGATGCAAGAACAAACCACCATTCTGTTGAATCAATTCAATACTCCACGCACTGCCGCTAGGGTCAAACAACAAAACTAACCCAGTTATTCTGCCTTCCATTTTTCTCATGAATCTTCATGGGATTTTCAGTCTTTCGGAGCTCAAATCATCATAATAAAACGCAAAAAATGAGGGCTCCTCGCATTCTGAGCTTCCTCCATTGAAATTAGCTTTGCAAGTTTCAAACTCTTATCAGAAAACAGAATCTCGGTGAAATTTTCTGAGTAACCAAACAGGTCCTACCATTTTTCCCCTCCGATTTAAAATTAACGAAGCAAGAACGAACAAAATTCAAGATGGGATTTGTGATCGTATAAATTATTAGGTTTTTTTTTCAATTTGTTTTTATGAGGAAGTGGCATACTTGTAAAAAAAAAAAAGGAAAGTCTATTTCTAATGGGAGTGGCTGACGGAGTGAGGTTCCATTAGGGGTAAGAGCTGGGGAAAAAAAATATTTCGTTTTGGGCTTTTAATTCAGCCCATGTGTATTCAAGGTTATAGGGCCTGATATTTAATAGTTTTGTCCTTATCATGAAATATAAAGCCCTTTTGGTTAAATGATAGTATAGGATGGTTTTTGGTTAAAGTAAACTTAACCCAAGCCTTTTTCATTAAAGCTCCCTATTTAAATACATCACCCTAGGAAACAATAGCAAGATTGACCAATTAAATTTTCAAATAATATACAAGCTACTAGAACCGCCATGTTTATGGTCATTTCCACGTACTGAACACTCTAGTTATAGATCCATAAACAACAAAATATTACACAAGTACCAAATCATGAATAGTAATGCCAAAGTAATGGAATTAAATTATTATTTTAGAATACCGTCAAAAAAATATTATATTACAAAGATTGATGTTGAGTTAGTTGAGATTTGCCCAAATAATCCCATCTGAATTTTTACTATCCAGGTGAGGTTCACCTATCTTGTACGTGTTACTATAGATTGAGATTTTCTCTATGTTTGACTTAATTAATTCTTATTTGTTATAATAAGAGCAACTTTTCGGGTAAAAGAGGAGTTCAAATGTATAATCTCGAGAAGGATCGGAGATATTTAACTAAAAAGAGGCATTTTAAAAAATTTGTGTTTTGTTATGAGACAAATCAAAATAGTTTTCACCACTTCATCTACATTTGGTGTAATGTCTTAATCCGTTGCTTTTTTCTCATTCTCAAATCTCTCTTTATTGTTATTTTTTCACGTATTGTGTTAATAGTCTATTACTCATTTATACTAACAAAATATAGCAACTCAAAAAGTATTTAGACTTGAGAATGCAAGATAAAGCGATGAAAGGGAGTGGGGGACTTTAAAAATTGAGACGAATCTTTTAATTATTTTTACAAGCTTAATATAAGGTTTTGCACAAGGAAAGATTGAGAGGAGGCACATGGTCGGATGATACACACACACACACACACATATATATATATATATATTTCTCTCTTAAATTTGAGTGCAAAAATAATGCTAAACAATGGAGCTAAAACAACAAAGTTTTATTTCATTACATGGAGTCGGCTAAATGAGTCCTGGAACGCCAATGTTCTTAGTTTTGTATCTAGTTTTCTGTTAACTCCAAATACTCCATGTTTTTTTTCTCAAAATGTCTTTTCAAGTCTTTCTTGGTTTTTCTCTACCATTTTTTCCTAGAACCTGTCTCATAATTGCATTTTATAACCATAGCATTCATAGGTATTTGTTTCACATATCTAAATCACCTTAATTGATTTTCTCTCATTTTATCTTTAATTGCGGTCACTTCTATTTAACAACTAACATGGAAAAGTAAAAAATTAAACACGGTCTTGATTTTTTTTTTTTTTTTTGTCAAACGATAGATTTTTTTAGATTAGATGTTAGATTAAAGAGTCGACGAAATTCAAACTCACATCGTAGTAAAAAGGCAAAACACGATCTTGAATTAATGCAGGGTAAATACTCATTACAACGAGTTCAGACCCTTGTATGTTGAAGCAATAAACACATTTTCATTTCATTTTCTGAATCCTTTTTCAAATTTAACATAAAACAAAAACAAATAATCAAAGTAAAAGATTAACCAACTTCGAAGGTTCAACGTAAGGGTTGGGTATTCAAGTAGCGACCTTCTCTCGTAGGTAGACACGAGGCAATCCCTCAAACGTTTTGACCAACCCCTTCCTTCTCTCCTCCTTTCCCACATAATATATAAATATTTTATGTTCATCCAATCACTCCAGCCTTATAAGTACATTTGCTCTTCAATCCTCTTTTTCTTAGTTTCAAGTTTCTGCATCAACAAACACCAAGATTCCCCAACTGCCCTTTTTGCACTTTCAAGGTGTTTATTATATTTTTGCTTCTGTTCATGATTCTGTATTATGTTTTATCATATATAAACCATGATTATTATGAAAACCTTTGTCTTAGTTTTGCTTTATATCTTTGTTTAGGCTTCCTAATCTTGTAATTAACGATCTTGTCTTTGATCGGGTTGTTCTTGTTCATCACATTTTTCACAGTAAAAACGTGTCTTTGACTAATCAACTGTGCTATAAATTGCAATGTCCAAAATGTATGAATTGTGAGGGATTTGGATATAGGGATTTAAATGGGCTTGTTGATCTTTAATCACCATGTGTAATCCTGTAACATTTACCTCAAATCTCCTAGTAATCCTGTTATATTTAGCTCAACATTTGGATTGGTAATTTTGTTTTCCCAGGCCATGATTTATTCAAGTGTGTTGATGTTTCGCTCATCAATATCCTATTTGTTGTTTGAATGTTTTTTGTTCCTAATAGCTGCAATGTGATGTTTTACCCTTTTACTTTTTACCTGAATATGGTTAGAGATGTCTGAAGGAGAAGAACCTAAAACTCAAAAAGCTCCCAAATTGAATGAGAGGATCCTTTCATCTCTGTCAAGAAGATCAGTTGCTGCACATCCTTGGCATGATCTTGAAATTGGTACCTACAGCTTCACCCTTACTAGATCTCTCTAGCTTTTGCTCATACCTTTCTTTTTGGGTAGCGATTTTGACGCGCCTCTTTCAGCCATCTGCACTCTAAACTGAATATTTTACTATTTGTCCCACACTCACGGATGGAGGGCAGGAGGCTAAACAATGAGCGTTAAAATCACTAGCCCCTTTCTTTTATTCTTTCGTTTCGGTTCTTTTCCTGGAAGAAACTGATCATGTTGCGAAATCTTTGTTTGCAGGACCTAGTGCACCCGATATTTTCAACGTTGTATGTATCTGCTCCTTCTTTATCAAATAACCAGCATTAGTTTCCGTTGAGCCAAAACAAGTGACTAGAGGAAATCATATATGTTGTCAATAAAGTTGCAAATTAACTGAATTGTTTGTTGGATTGGTTCAGGTTATCGAGATAACAAAGGGAAGCAAAGTCAAATATGAACTTGACAAGAAGACAGGAATGATTAAGGTATGAAAAAAAAATTCACAGCTCTGAATTACCTTGAGAGTTACTTTCTTCATGTCTCAAGTATCTAAGTTCAGATTGTTCTTAAATGTTTTGCATAAACTCTCAGGTTGATCGGATTTTATACTCGTCGGTGGTGTATCCTCACAATTACGGCTTCATCCCTCGCACCTTGTGTGAAGACAATGATCCACTGGATGTTTTAGTCCTCATGCAGGTGGTTTTTCAGATTTTCAGTCATCTTTTCGAAGAAATTTTCGTTATCCAAATCCATTCGAACATAACAAAATAATTAGTATAATTCATAAAGTATTGATGAGTATTTATTTAAATAAATGAATTAAAACAGGAACCTGTGCTTCCGGGTTGCTTTCTGCGAGCCAGAGCCATTGGAGTGATGCCCATGATTGATCAGGTTGAGCCTCTACCATCTTTCTATAACTGTTCAGTTTTGTGCATGAACTTTCACAATTACTGATTCATGTTTTTAATCCAGGGAGAGAAGGATGATAAGATCATCGCAGTCTGCGCCGATGATCCAGAGTACACACATTACACTGCACTCGATGACCTCCCCCCTCATCGCCTTTCTGAGATTCGTCGCTTCTTTGAAGACTGTATCCTTCAGTTCACATTCATACTTTAAAACTTAATGCATCGCTTTAGATTTTAAGACTTCAATGGAATTACAATGCTGCACCATTTTTCTTAACATATTGCTCAGACAAGAAGAATGAGAACAAAGAGGTTGCAGTAAACGCCTTCTTGCCCGCTAGCACTGCTCTTGAAGCTATCCAGTACTCAATGTAAGTTTTATCTTTAGGAACCACAAGCTTCTGAGACATGGCGATCGAAGCTCTAATGTTTCTTGTTGCTTAAGAAAGAGAAAAAAACTGATGCGTGTCTGACTTTTATGTTTTGGTGCAGGGATCTTTATGCTGAGTACATAATGCACACCTTAAGGCGGTAAACATACAAACCACTAATTACAAATAAGTCATTTTTATCAATGGCAGAAGGAAGATTTCATGCAGAACTTCCCCAGTTTTACTATTTCTGTTCTGGATTCGATTGGTGATTGTTTGGTTGATTAGTAAAGTTAAGAGGAAGTCACTGGAGAATGTTGTTTCCCTTTCCATTACGTGCGGTTTCACCGTTTGACAGCGGTATCATCTTCTGGTTCGGATCTTCTTGCTTCAGTGGTAGAGCATCTCGCCCCTGCATTCACGACAAGATTCTGACTCTTGCTCTTGGCGTCCTTGGACTTTAAAACGGAAAAGATTACCTATCTTCAAAAATTCTTCGAATTAGAATGTCTAAACAATTATAACGAATTTCCTTCATTAATTTGCTTATTTAGTTTTATCCAGCTGGAATGGAGGATGTGTTCCAATCCTAAATTAAAATGATGATTTATTTTCAATTTGGACATTGAGAGAGGCAGTACAACTTTCATGAAAATTCACTTCATCTGACAACATCAATTCATCGGCAATGAAACCCTAATAAACCTGAAATGATTTGGGGTTCAGGGTTCACCTCGTCCGGAATCTCTGGATAGAGGAATGTTTGCTACCTTCCTTCTCTTTGACATTCTCTCATTTTGTTCCCATTCTACAATTTTTTTTTTTTTTTTACAAACGATATTATCTACACCAAATGGGAGGGGTAGGCTTAGCCTCATAATGAGCTAGCAATAATCGAACCTAAGACCTCTCACTTATGAGTGAAGATGAATACTACTAGACCATAGTATTAAGTGGTTATTCCCATTCTACAATTAGGTTTGATGAAAGAAACTGCTCGTCTTTTAGGTCACTCTTTAAAAATCCCATCTACAAAATATAAATCAAATTGAAAACTTTCATTCTTGTAAATATTACCGTATGAATGGACGCATCCGGTGTTTTGGTGGAATAGTGAATTATCACATTGTTGATCAAATGTTTAAATATTTTTCGATTTGGTTAATATTTTGCAAGAATAACCATGAAGGATCACGAACTGACGGAAAATATAAAAGAGAAAAGGAGAAAGTACAGGGAACATAATTACAAAGGGAAATGCTGCTACTAATTAAAAGGCCACTGGTTACGAGTAGACTTGGCATTTTTCACCCGACCCGTTAATCCGACCCGACCTGGTCCATTAAAATTAGTATTCGGATGGGTGATGAACGGGTCAAGTGGTTAACGGGTCAACCCGTTAAATAACGGGTCATTTTGGGTGAACCCGCGAAATCCGTTAACCACCCGTTAAGACCCGTTATTGAGGACTTTTGTGTAATTTCAACAATTCTAATAGAAAACCCTCATGTTCCTCACGTCTCTCTCTCGCACCGTCGCACGGCTTCGGTCTCCGCAAGTGTTGCCATTGCCGCCGGTACTGGCAATTCCTCCCCACGTTCTTCAAAACTTTAACCCCACGGCTCCTTTTCCATTTCTTCCCCACCTCTCTCTCTCTTCTCTCTCTCCCTCTCCCTACAAAACCTTTATCTTCGACGTTTCTGCTAATCAGTTCATGTTATTTCTAATATCAGGTAAGTCTCTATCTCTCATTTCTTTGCTTTAGAATTCTTATGGAAGATTGTTGCAATTTTTGGTAGACCCTTATTGTTTTTTGGATTTTGTAGGCCCTTTTGCGTATGAATCAATGAGGTTCCATTATTTGCTAATATGGGTTTATTTGTTTTGTCGTAAATATGTTGAATTGCAGTCTCATTTGTTATGTATGAGCTTAAAGGGAGCTTCTTTCCCCTTCCCAACTACTCGCTTTGAATTTGTCAAAATGTTAATTTCGAAATGTTAGCCATAAATGTTTTGATTTGGGTTTGTTTTGGTTATTAGTTTTGGTTATTCATTTATCCTTTATGCGATGAGGATACACTTCAAAAGTTATGAAATTTTGAAAATTGTAGTCATATTGTAGTTTCGAAGTATGAATTTTCCCGATTTTTCTGAAATATTGAAAGGGAGTTGGTTTTCCAGGTTCCAAAATAAAATGTAATTCTGGTATAGGACCTTTTGTGTGTGTGGAGAATGAAACTATTATAAGTGGCATTCGAATATTTTTTTTTTTTGGGACAAACAGAGAACTTTCATTAATAAAAACTAATACAAGAAATGGAAGGCCCATAGGCAAGCCAAATACAAGTAAAAACAACCGACAAGCTCATAAAGAGCAAGCTTACATCAACAAAAACCCTAGATCTGAAAAAATAAATAAATAAATAAAATAAAAAAATAAAAAAAAAGCAAACTCCACCACGCCAGCTGTGCCGCTATCGCCGATCCGTCACCACCACCAAGAGAAAGAACCCACAAACAAACTAGATGAACGGAAAATAGGGGTGAGCGAGAAGTGGCATTCAAATTTATTTATCAATTTTTCGATTGAACGTTTAATTATTGTTTGTATTCTTGTGCATCGTAACAAAGCTCCAGGTGTTCATCAAATCACTCAATGACTTGCATATGCACACAAACCGAATGAAGGAAGGAGGTGGCTAGCACAAGCACTAGGATGCTAAGAACGGGTGTAATTGATTTGGAAGAAAAGTGTAAAAAAAAAAAAAAAAAAAAAAAAGGTTAACGGGTGAAACGGGTTGAAACGGGTGACCCATTAGCTTAACGAGTTGGGTTCGGGTGACCCGTTAAGCTTAACGAGTTGGGTTCGGGTGACCCGTTAGCTTAATGGGTCGGATTGAACCTGACCTAAACCCAATAAACCCGACCCGTTTACAGGTCTAGTTACGAGATGCATAGAAATTAGAAATCTCTCTACTATTTTTCATCTCATAAAAAGCCATCGCCACATTTGAAATTAGGGAGCTTTAATGAAAAAGGTTTGGGCCAACAAATATTTAACCAAAAACCATTCTAAAATGTTATTTAACCAAAAGGCTCAAAGTTTAATAAAAAACCATCCTCTTATCACCCTTCTCTGGCTTAAGCGGTGCAACCTCCACACAGCACTTTTCAATTGGGTTTTTTCAACTGCTTCAACAACGGCAACCCCAACAACAACATCTTCGGTGTCGAGTTTGATGTCTTCGAAAACCAAGTGTTACACCCACCCCTAATTTAAATTGTATTTTCACTAAATTTAAGATTATCTTGCTTTTAAAATTGTTTTTGGGTCTTAATTAGTATGCCCAAGGGGCCCACCCCTTGATTTTGTCCCCCATGACCCCTTCTTCTTTCTTCTCTCCTTCTCTGCACACTTCATACTCTCTCTCGAAACCCACTCATCTCTCTCCCACTCTATCACCGTGAGCACCCACACACACACACACCCACCACCACAACTACCTAGCTACAACACCACCATCACCTCTGGAACTTTCTTCTCTATATCTCCCCCGTCTCGGCGAAGCTTTGGGACACCCAGAGAACACCCAAGTCTCCCCCGACACCTCCAGCAACTTTTGAGACAATTTCCAGCCAAACCACGGTGAGTTTGCCGACGTACAAGGTATCAATCTCTTCGTCTTGCTGAATACTACAACTTTCCTTTTTGTTTCACCCAATTTTGTTGAGTATTGAAGAAGTTATATCCATTTGAATCTTACCCAGTTTCCAGCGAGTCTGACGGCTTTCGAGGCGTTTTCCGGCCAATCCACGACGAGTTAGATATCGTGCAAGGTACCATTCTCTTCGTCTCTTCGAGGGCTACAATTTCTGTTTTAAATCACTCGATTTAGTTGAGTATTGACAAAGTTATAAACGTTTAAAGTTTGTCTAGATTTCCGGCCGAAATCCAACCTTCTCTTTCAATTGGGACCAGCAACCCATGTTCTGAGCTCAGATTGGGCTTTCAAGCCCAGATCCTTTTGAACCAGGCCCTTTGGGCCGTGCCAAACCTAGGGCCTTAGGCCCGTTATCCTTTTAAACCCAACCAAAATCCGTTAATCTATTTATATTTATTTATTTAGTTTTATAAAAACCCAAAAGAACTGGATCGGGCCTTTAAGCCCAAGCCCCTTTTTGTGCAGCATAGGGCCTTCGGCCCATTACCCCAAAACCCATCAGATATGGCCTTTGGGCCTTGGACCCCTTTTATTTATTTTTGTATTTTATTTGTTTGAAACTAAACCCTTTAACATTTTAAAACCCTTAACCCAATCCTTTAACCTATTAACCCAAAACCCTTTTTAAATTAGAAAACCCTTAACCCATTAACCCATTATCCTAAGCCCAACCTACCTAAACCTAAACCCTAAACCCCTAAGTCCAGACCCTAAACCCTAGCCGGCCCAAAACCCTTTATGGGGAATATTCCGCTAGGGAGTATTCTATTGGCGTTTACAAAATTTAACTGGGACCCTTCTTAGGGTAATTCGACGTTCTAAATTCGTTTCCAACGTCCGTTTTCCCAAATTCAATTGTTATAATAGAGTTTTATTAATTGGACCATTTATGTGCTTAGGGGCAATATTTGTGGCGTTTCTATCTTCGCTAGTTGCGTGGCTTTTCGGCAGCTAAGTACTGTGAGTGGATCCCTTCTAAAAATGCATGTTTTAATAGTATAAATACATACATGAAAAGCATGATTTGATGATTAAGTTTTATGAAACGTTTTGTGAGATAACATGCTTACTAAGGCTAGTTTGAATTATTACTATTTTTCATATAACTCATGTTCTTATAGAATATTCGATGGATGACGATATGATATTTAGAACATGTTTCGAACACTTCTTTATAGTATAGATGGTGGATGACTATATACTATGAAGTTGTTTTTCAATATATATATATATATATATATATGTTCAATGGTTTTGTACTTACCTAGTGGTCATTTCCGCTACAGGACGTAGGGATAGATTCTAGTCCGTCCCGGGCGACGGTTTGGTGTTGGCATAGGGCTTGGAGTGTGTTTCCTCTGGTTATTTAGCACAGGGATGGGGAGCTGACATGGGGCCTGAAGTGTATTTTCCTCTGACTATTTGCTCAGAGACGGGGAGCTGGCATGGGACCTGGGGGTTATCGGACAATTCACTAGTGATTATTATATATAAAAGTTATGATTTGAGATATTGCACGGCATGCTAGGTTTCGGAAAACCTATGTTTATCATGATATATATGTGTTTTCATAAAACCTGGGGGTTAATATGTTGATAACTGTTTTATTATATATATATCAATTTGGTCCACTCATGTTTGTTTTGCGCCCCCTTTAGGACTTAGAATCGAGGCATACAATCCCAGCATCCAGAAACTTCCACATCGGCATCTTCGAGTCATCTCGGTGTAGGACCCATCCTTTGTTTCATTAAATTTTATATTATTTCTTTCGGTGTTCTAGTTAGTCGTATGCTCTGAACACGTTCCTTAAATGCATATTCTTGATTCTTTTATATTTATAAGTTTTATCTATTCCTTATTCTCAGCATTTGCACTTAACAAATGGCTTTCGTCACCCTCGGGTGTCGGCCAGCACGTGCCTATCCTGGTATTCGGGGAA